TCAGTGCTAGAGCCTTTGCCCAGAACACACAGGGCCCTGAGCCCTGAGACGACAGAACTGAGTGAAAGCCAACCACAAGGGGTCCCTGGAGGGGGCAGCCCTGACACTTGGTGTGGAGCTGGCAGCCTCTCCAGGTACGCACACAACGGGGCACATAGTATCAAAGCAATCTGTGTGCTGTGCTTTCTCTGCGCTGCACCCCTCCCCTGGTACCCCATGGGAGCCTCTGTTCTCCTCTGTTCTCCTCCCTCTTCTGATGCAAGATCTATTGGTCATAGAAGGCCATGGTAGGGACTTGATAAGCCCTTAATGAGTTTAATAAAGGCATCTAGGTGGCGTTATGATTTTAACAATTTGGTCATGGAATGCTGCATCCTCCACGCAGCGGGAATTTGCACGCGGTCCTCACAGCCCTGCTTGGTCAGACTGGTTCGACTCAGGCCCTGGGTCTGCCATCATCCATCATCCCAAGGGATGACCTCACCTGCAGTTGCTGATGAGGGCTACTGGGTAGAGCCCTAAGTGCTGTGTGCTAAACACTACGCTTCTGGCTATATGGAGGTATCTCTGGGATTCCATAGCAGAAGAATAGGAAAGAAATTGAGGTTCCTCAGCCTGGGAAGTGGGCAAGAACTTTGGAGTTTCCTGGAAAACTTACACAGTTGAGCCTCTGATCGACAGGTCCTACACCCACAGATTCCACTAGCCGCACATCCAGAAGTGATGAGGCCTGCGTGATTGTACCTGGACTGAGCACGCAGAAATATTATCCCATAGGTAATGTGTTAGAGTGGCTCCTTACATAGCTTTACACGTACAGGGCATGTAAGTCATTCAGTGGTGACTTGCAACGTGCAGAAGACATGCATAGGTGAAAAGGAAACCCGGCGCCATTCTATACACCTGACCACCTGAAGACTGCTGTTCATGGACATCCTGGACCCAATTCCTCTTGGAATTCTAAAGAATTTGGGGAATAACTGAGATTCCCCCCAAAATTTGGACCAGACCAGGTAGTGTGTGCCGCTATTCCAGTATACTGAGAGGCTGAGGAGGGAAGATTGCCAGTTTTTTTCCGGAACCAGGGATTGAACTCAGGCCCTTGCACTTGCCAGGCAAGCGCTTATTCTACTGAGCCATCTCCCTGCCCCCCCCCTTTTTTTCAGAACCGGGGATTGAACTCAGGCCCTTGTGCTTGCCAGGTGAGCGCTTATTCTACTGAGCTGTCTCCCCGGCAAGATTGCCAGTTTAAGGATAGTCTAGCCAACTTCTTTTAAAATAAAGGACTGAAAAATAAAGAGCTGAAGATGAGTGGTAAAACATTCTTGGGTTCAATTCCCACTATGGTAGAGAGAAAAAATTAAGAGCAAAAAACAGCTTAGAGGTCAGACTAATAGTCCCTCATGCAGTAATTGTAACTAAATCCAGGTCAATAACAGGATATGAGGGCTGGCCAGATAGCTCAGCGGATTGAAGCGCCTGCTTGGGCAGACACAGGGGGCAGGGATTCGATCCCCAGCTTGCTGTGCTGGCCCCGCCCCCAGGGCACACTGAGATAGTGATTGAGACTGGGTATGGTGATGCATGCCTGTAATCCCAGTGCTTGGGAAGCTGAAAACAGGAGAATCACTATAGATCCAATCTGTGTAGTGAGGCCCTATGGACCTTGCACTAAATTTAAAAAAAAAATCAAAACACAAACACAAAATCAAACCAAGTTCTACTGGTTCCAATTTCATGAGCCATATGACCGTGGGCAAGTGCCTTAATCCTCTGCAACCTGTTTTCTCCTCTGTGAATTGAGGCTTAGGATCCTGCCCAACCTGTCCAACCGAGTTACCTAGAGGTGCAAACGAGGCAGCACACGTGAAAGTGGTTGAAAATATACCAAGTTCACACCCTGCATGGCAGGCTTCGGGCTGCTGCCCAGGGCTAGGGTGAGGACAGCTGACCAAAGCAGCCTCCCAGGTGGGCGGAGCTGGGCCCTAACCCTGCTTCATGTGACAGAGGTCGGAAAAGACAGGTGTGGGTCTGGGTGTAGTTGCCCACATCTGTCACCCTAGAACTTAGGGAGGCTGAGGCAGGAGAATGGAAGTTTCAGCCTGACTTGGGCAACTTAACAACCTAGCGAGATTCTTTTTTAGTTTTTTTTGTCTTTTTTGTTTGTTTTTTAGTTGAGGTTTATTTTTTGGTTGTGGTGCTGAGGACCAAACCCAGGGCTTCCAGCTTGCTAGGCAAGCATTCTACTACTGAGCTAGATCCCCAGCCCCCAGATTCTGTTTCAAAATTTAAAGGAATGAAAGTACAGGGGATGTAGCTCTGAGCAAAAGATCTGGTTTCGGTACCCAGTCCTACAAAAAACAACAAAATGAAAAGGAATCAAAGAACAGAACACGAGAGAGCTGCATTCTAAACATGATGAAACAGGGATCTCCTCACAGACGGATGACGCTCGGGCTGCCTTGAGGGACAGAGAAGGTTACTCTCTGGAGGTGACTTGTGACTTGTGAGAACCGGTTCTGAGGGACAAGGACAGCTACGTAAGGCCTGGGGCACTGTGTGTCCTCTACACAGGGACAGTCAGTGCAGAAGTTCCAGGAAGAAGCTGGTGACAGTGAGCCCAGTGGAAAAGGGGTGGGAGCAGGCAGGTTGGGAAGAGAGGCTGGCTGCTGGAATGATGGATGCCTGGATGGATGCATGCATGGATGGATAGATGAGGTCTCAGAGCACTGCTGGAAGCCATTCTGGGACCCTGGGGAATTTCACTGGCATTCACCAGGAGCCTCACAGCAGGGAAACTGAGGTGCAGAGAGCAAGCCAGCCAGCTTGGAGCCCCTAGCCACTGTTTCCTGGGCTGCCACTGAACCTAGGTCTCCAGTGCAGCCGCTATTGCCAAGGCTGGTGCCCTCAGAGGAACAGGAAGAGGCCTTGCAGGAACCCCCAGAAGCCCAGGACTTCTGGCTCCAGCCCAGGGGGTCCTGGCCCTCCCTGGGCTGAGGAACTGGGGTCAGCTCTGTGAGTCCACGCCAGTGCCTGGAACAGCCCTAGGAGCAGGAAGTTGGTCTGCAGCCAGCCGGAGGTTCAGCGCCTGCACCTGCAGCCTTTGTTCCCTCTTCCTCCTGTGAACTTTCCCAGCACCTGAGCAGCCTGCGCACCTGCGCCAGCTCAGGACTCCCACGGGATCTGGTTCTGCTGTACCAGGGAGCAGCCAACTGTGACCCTGCAGGAGGGCTCCTGACAGAGTACTGCAGAAACAACCCCGGGCCACTCAGGAAACTCAGAGATGCAGGCCACACTGTTTCATTTAAACCCCTGAGTCCATCCCTCCCACCCCCCTGCAGGCAGCCCCAGAGCCTCATCACCCCCATATCATAGAGGGGAAGTTGAGGCACACAGAGGTAAAGTGACCTGTCCATGGTCACACAGTATAAGACATGAAGATATTGTGGCTTTGGAAACAACAGGTCCTGCCCCCCTGACCTCTGTGACCTTAGGTAAGGCATTTATTTATTTATTTATTTATTTTATGTTTTCAAGGGAGTATTTATTCTCAGCAACCATTACATCTTTCTGTAAGATCTATTTTTTAAAGTCTCAAGTTCAAAAACATTAATGATCCATTCTCTAAAATGTGATGGAAAACTGTGACAACAGAACACACACGAATTTTTGTCGTATTAACAAAGCAAATGATTTTACTAAAAGATGTCACCACCATTTCTATCAGTAGTAACCGTATGGAGGCCGCTGGTTATAACCATATTGTCCATATTGCTGCGGATAGTAAGGCTCTTGTCTGTGCTGTGGGTAATTGTTACCCCAGGATCGTCCATGCCACTGGTTTGATCGATTGTCACTTGGCCACCCCCGTCTGCTGTCCCTACCTCTAAACTGTCTGTTATCTTGCAACTGATTGCCTCTGTTTCTTTGGTTCCCACCAGCTCTGCTATTCCATTCTTCAATAACTGGAGGGGATTCGGGGGGCGTTTCAAATATTCCTGGTATTCTTTATCATCTTCTGTGAATCTGTTTGCAAACATCTCTTCAAAGTTTGGAATAGCTTCAGATGTGTCAGTCATAGGGGCGGGGGAGATGGCTCAGTGGAATAAGCGCTTCCCTGGCAAGCGCAAGGGCCTGAGTTCAATCCCCGGTTCTCCCAAAAAATAAAAAAAGAAGTGTCAGTCATCCTGAAACTAGCCAGTGACTCTGTGCGTCCGGCTCTGGCTGCCAGCGCAGCGACGTCGGACCAAGGCATTTATTTATTATTATTTAAGTTTTTATTTTTATTTCCATGTTATCAGCATATGATTAATTTATCATAGGAAGTTGCTACAGGTACAAACCACATCTTGATTCTTTTTATGTCCCCTTTCTCCACTTTCCCTTGGGTGAGACTTTTGTTTTGAGACAGCGTCTCACTGCAGTTCAGGCTGGCCTTGAGCTCACTTGGTAGCCTCAAAATCACCACAGTTGGGCCAGGAGATAGTTCAGGGCCATAAGTGCTTGGCAAGTGTAAGGTCCTGAGTTCAATCCCCCATACAAAAAAAAAAAAAAAAGTCACAGCAATCCTCCTGCCTCAGCCTCTAGCCTGGCACAGGTGAGGGTTTTAAATTTCTTCTGATTCAGACTTTGGAAGACATCTTCCAAGATTCAGTAATTTGAGCTGGAGGCATAGCTCAGTGGCAGAGGCAAGTTTAGGCTGTACAAAGCCTTGCTGTACAAAACCTTGAGTTCCATCCCTAGGTCAAAAAACAAAGCAAAAATACCACCAAGAAAAAAAAAATGTCAGAGGCCAAAGCAGACGTGGTAAAGCACACCTATAATCCCAACACTCTGGGAGGCTAGGGCAGAAAGATCATGAATTCAAGCCCACCCCAGGCAACTTAGTCATTTAGATGTCTCAAAAAACAAAAAACAAAACAAAACAAAAAAAAAAAAAAAAAAAACTGGGCATGGTGACACATGCCTGTAATCCAGCACTCCGGAGATTGAGGCAAGAGGATCACTGTGAGGTTGAGGCCAGCCTAGCCTCCATAGTGAATTCAAGCCCAATCTGACCTATATAATGAGTCCCTGTCTCAAAAAAACAAAAAAGCTAAACTAAATAAATAGCTAGGGACACTGGTCAGTGCAAAGGCCCTAGGTTGGATCTTCAGTACAAAAAAAAAATTTTTTTAAAAAGTCATAGAACAAATGATTTGACATAGGGAGAATTCTTGACCTCATGACTTGCAACAGTATCTCTTTCACATTTGCCACAGCTCTGTGACCCTGAGTGTGGTACCAACGCAGCCTGTTTCCTCATCAGTCTCGCTGGCATGATAACATTACCTAAAAGGGCTGACCAAAGCCTGAAGCTTGGCCACTACCTCCTCTTTGACAAGGCCACACTTCAGATATTATAGGCGACTAAGACAGGTAGACAAGGCTGGAAACAGGCGGATCACTACAAGTCTGATCTAGTAATGAGACCCTGAACACCCTGTAGACCCTTCCCTAAAAATACAAAAAAAAAAAAAAAAAAAAAAAACCCTAAAACCCAGGTAGATGTATTCTAGGCAGTCAGACAGGACTGGGTCCTGGAGGGAGTCAGTACAGAGGAGCAGAACACATCACAGCTGTGATGGATGGTGTCTCCATTGAAGGCCAGGCCTTGGGATGAAAAGGGATGACCAGGCCTACGTGCCTCCCCCCATGGTAAGGGATAGCACTTAAATGGTGTCATGTGACCCAATAAAGTCTGGACAGACATCAGTCACCCAGGTGGGTGACCAGGACCTCCTGATCCATCTCTTCCAGAAAAGGTCCTTATTCTTTCCATATGTACTTGCTACACGACCCATTTCTCTTTTGGATCAACATTACCCATATAGCTATACTTTTTCCTTTTTTGGTCTTTTTAGAACAGGATTTCACTGTACGGTTCAACGCATGTTGTGGCCCAGGCTAGACTTGAACTTGAAGCAACTGTCCTGCCTCAACCTCCCGAGTGTTGGGATACCAGGTGTGTGCCATCATCCCTGGCCTGCAGTTACGCTTATGGTCTTAATGACTGATCATAGTTTTTGTACAGCATTCTATCTGCCTCACAATTTTGCTCTATAGAGCTTCCTTGGAGTAGTGGGCTTGTTGGCAACTCACTCAGGCCTTCTCCTGCGTCTCAGGAGCTATATCCCTTGATCTCTCCAGGACTCAGTGTTCCCACCTCTATGGAGGTCGTCTTCTCCCTTATCCAAGGCCTCTCATCCCATTGTCCCTGTGATTATCCAGGGTCTGGAAAATGGTGACTGCATCTGCTCATGGTGGTGCACACTGCCATCCCAGCACTCAGGAGGCTGAGGCAAGAAGACTCCTGCAAATTTGAGACAAATTTGGACTACCTAGTGAGTTCAAGGTCAGCCTGAACTACATAGTAAGAAAGAGCCTGTCTCAACAAAACGAAACAAAAGGCCCTCTTGAGCTGCAAAGGTACCTCAGGGGTAGAGCGCTCACCTGGCACATGTGAGTCCCTGGGTTGGAGCTCCACCACCCAGTGCCCAATAAACTCCATATTAAGGGGGGGTGGACCAGACAGACCAGGCTCTGCACATCCATCAGGGTTCTCCAGGTCAGCATCTGGACCAGTTCCTCTGGTACCCATAGCTGCTGCTGAGATGTGCATTAAAGGGATATCCTAATAGCCAAGCCTCACCTCGGTGCTGGTGAGAAGAGGGGCTAGTGAGATGCACCAGCCAGTGCCTGGCAGCCCAGCATCTTCCTAAGTTCTTCCTTCCCACCCTTTGTCCCCAAAGTAGCAGTCTCCTATGGCAAGGAACAGCTTCCCAGGCAAGGAAGGATTAGTCTTCATATAGAAATAGCTTGTGAAGGGCCAGGAGATAGCTCAGTGGCGTAAGCACCTACCTGACAAGCGCAAGGTCCTGAGTTCGACCCCCGGTACACCCCGAACCCCCAAAAAAGAAAAAGAAATAGTGCGTGCTTATAATCCCAGTGCGCAGGAAGCAGAGTTTGAAGCCAACTTGAGCTCCATAGTGAATTCAAGGCCAGCCTAAACTACATAGACAGACCCTGTCTCAAAAAGCCAAAAACCAGGGGCCAAGGAGATAGCTCAGAGGCATAAGCACCTATCTGGCAAGCACAAGAACCTGAGTTTGCTCCCCGGCACCACATGGCGTGTGGTCTTGGCCCCAGATGCTCACCATGCAACCTGGAACAGGTGTGGTGGCCCATGCCTGTAATCCAGTACCTGGGAAGCTGAGACAAGGATCTCTGTGAGTTGGAGACCAGCCTGGGGGCTACAAAAGTGAACACAAGGCCAGCCCAAGCTGTACAGTGATACCCTATCTCAAAAAAAAAAAAAAAAAAAAAATCCAAAACAAACAAAAAGAAATACCAGAGTCCCTAGCTGCACCGGCTCGTGAGGCGGGCAGGATGAATGTGGGGGTGGCACACAGTGAAGTAAATCCCAACACGCGAGTCATGAATAGTCGGGGCATCTGGCTGGCCTACATCATCTTAGGAGGGCTGCTGCATGTGGTTCTACTCAGCATCCCCTTTCTCAGTATTCCTGTTGTTTGGACCCTGACTAATGTCATCCACAACTTGGCAATGTATGTCTTCCTACATACAGTGAAAGGGACACCCTTTGCAACTCCTGATCAAGGAAAGGCTCGCCTGTTGACACATTGGGAGCAGATGGACTACGGCCTCCAGTTTACTTCTTCCCGAAAGTTCCTTAGCATCTCTCCTATTATACTCTACCTTCTGGCCAGCTTCTACACCAAGTATGATGTTGCCCACTTCCTCATCAACACTATCTCACTGTTTAGTGTACTGCTGCCTAAGTTGCCCCAATTCCATGGGGTTCGTCTCTTTGGCATCAACAGATACTGAGGGATAGGGCTGAGGACAACCCCACAGGCATGGAGAAGGCAGTGGAACAAAGGACCAAAACATCTTTTCCCCTCTCCAAACCATCTTTTGTTTCTTGAAAGCCTGAGAAGTACAACCTTTCCCAAACTCGGGAAAAGAAGAGATTGGAAAATGAAACCATTGGGTCCAGCCCTGCTAAAGGCAAGACTGAGCCAGGAAAGACAAATGAGGTTAAGAGCCACATCATTCTCCTCTGAACAGGAAGACATAATATTTGGGCAGTTTGTTTGATGATTATATTTCCATATTTTTCACCCCTACTGCTTTCCTACCCCATTTTGCTGTATATTTTCCTTATAATAAAGAATTTTTTCAGCTAAAAAAAAAAAAAAAGAAAAAAGAAATACCAATTGTTACAGTATCTCCAGAGAACACTATGGATGTATATACAAGAAGCCTTAAAAATACACACTCTTGCAGGGCATGGTAGCACAGACCTGCAGTCCTAGCGCTTGGGAGGCTGAGGCAGGAGGATCATCGTGAGTTTGAGGCCAACCTGGGCTATATAAATGAGTTCAAGGCTAGGTAAACAACAGCAAGACCCTGTCTCAAAAACAAAACAAAGAGCCAGGAAGATAGCTCAGTAGAATAAGCACTTGCCTGGCAAGCACAGGGTTCTGAGTTCAATCCCTGGTACCGCAAAACAAACAAACAAACAAAACAAAAAAAAAAAAGAAAAAAGAAAATACACTCAGAGGTCTGAAGAAATGACACGCCCAGGCTCCTAGGAGGCTCCAGGAGGCTGGTAGAGCCTCACCCACTTCATCCACCCTTCTATACCTCTTCATCTTTATCCTTCAGAACACTTGAATTGTCAGTCACTTTCAGTAGTTTTTTTTTTTTTTT